GGCCGGCAGGCTGCCCCGCGCTGCCCCTCCCCTTCTCGAGCGCCGCACACGGGCGGCCCCGCCGGGCCTGCGGTGAGCCGAAACCAGTCAGTCGGAGGGCGCGGGAGGGCGTGCGTAGGCCTACTGAACGTGCGTGTGCTCTCTGTGCAGACCACCGGACTCGTGGGGTTGGCTGTCGCTGAGAACCCGCATGAGGTACGTCATGCGTCTTGCTCTGTGTTTTGCTGGAAGTTGTCAGTCGGATCAGAGCTTTTCGTTACGTATTTGCATGTGTGGGTACGTACGCCGCGTCCCTGGAAGCGGTGCCCGCGTAATGGCAATGTAAAAATGTTCCGAAGTGGCACAGGAAGAAAATTGATTCTTAAAGGTCTCATTCATGTCATTGGGACTTATTTTGTGCATGTACTTTTTGTTGCATGTGCCGATTTCAAAAACTGCCTTTGTGTAAGTACTGGTACGAACCAATATTTGATTTCTCCCATCTCCAACGCAAAAGCAAAGAACTCTTTAAATTCAGTTCTTCATAAATGTGGTTTCTGCTTCACAGGCACACAGATTTTTGCCACCTTGCTACATTGTGTTTCAAACAAGTGCTGAAATAACTTATACCTGTGCTAAGGGGGTAGGCAAGTCTTGCATGAGAAAGGCTATCCATGTGGTGCAAAGCCACATCAAGACCCTGTGATGGCAAGCGCTGGTGAGATTGGAATACTTCAGTGGTTCTTGGGAACCACATCAGGTGGTTCTTGTAGCAATTTGGTACTTTCTTTTTACCTCCTCAGGGTCAGTAATGAAAGTACATTCGCCACATCTTGCTTGCTTATTCAGGAGGCACGAGCTTTGAAGGGACTTCACTAATTCTCTGATTTCTCCGCTTTGAAATTTCTCACTATACAATGATTCTATTTCAGAAATGCTTTTGCCACCAATAGTCGGGAATGCTGTCAAAAAGAACCATTGAAAAAAATCATTATTATTCTGTACAAATTATTCTTGCTTGGTCTGCAGCCTTGTCAGACACCACCTAGGTTTTTTCAGTGACTTAAAGCCAACAGTAAAGAAGTCAACAACGCTTTAGTTGACGTATAGATTCTGTGACAGTCCCCTTTTAATTTTCTGGGGTTTTTTTCTTCTTTGTATTTCTTTGACTGCAGTGTTCTGCTTCTATTTCTTATTGTTCCTATAGGGCATCCATTCCTCTTCAGTTAGATACAGTTACCCAGCCAACAGGTGGCGCAAAAGCTGCAATTTCTTCACCCCAGTGTGTCCTTTATCACCGCATTTAAATCCAGCAATAAAACTTTCAGGTTTTAGTTCAATTTAAATCTGTCTGTCACTCAGAACTGCAACAGCATGAGAAGTGCCAAACAAAACAAAAAAATCTTTATGCTTTGGTAGCTTATGTGCTGCTTTGTATCTTTCCCAGGTAATTTTCCAGAAACTGATGGTTTAGACATGAATTTACCTCATTTTTAAAAGATATAGTTAGTATTAGAACCACAGCTTTTATTGTTTCCATTTTGTATCAAAGGTATTTCAGATTGCAACTTTTTTTTTTTTCCCTTTGAGGGGTCTGATAATGGTAACCTCCCAGTCCTGATAAATCCCAGCCTTGTGCAAGACAGAGTTCTGTGGTTCAAACTTAGTTATTTTGTTAACGCTACATACCTGGATTGAATACCATAACCCTCTAGATGTTGTGTACAGGTAGTTAGCTAGTAGGTTTAGTAGGACAAGAAGTCAAATAATTCTGGTTGTGTATTGTAACCATGTCTTGTGATCACTTCAGCGCCTGCGAATACTCTACACAAAAATCCTTGGTGTCCTGCAGAACGTTCCCAAAGATGCAGCTTATAGGAAATACACTGAGCAGATTGTAAAACAGCGATTTAATTTGGTGCAAACGGTAAGTACAGTGCTGTTTCATAAATGTTACACACAAAAAGATTTTTAGGATGAGAAGACTGATTTTCAAAATGACTGACTTTTTCAGGAGTATATGTAACTTCCGGGTTATCAGTTCAGAAATAATTGAATTCTTGAGGTTTATTTTTGTTATTGACTGGAATATTTTGATGGTATGTTAAAAAGAATTGTTAGTTTCTTACTGGAGTTTTCTGTGAAAACTAGAAGAAAACATAGCTTTTTGAAGATTTGTAGAACAGCGGTAATTCCCTTGCACAAAAAAAGCATGGGCTCTTACCAATGTAGTATCTTAGCACAATCCTTGCCTTTGGCATTTTGAAACACTCGGTGCGTTAAATTATGCAACAGTGGTATTGTGTATTTAGGGTGATAATTGGAAGGTTGCGTATCATTTTATAGAAAGCTAAGATCAGAATTTTCTTTCAAGATATATGCTAGACCCCTTAGCTGCCAGTTGTTCTTTGGATGTCATGAAGTAGTACTCATTTTTGGTATTTATCTTTGAGACCTTGATCTTTGTTTTCCAATACGAAAAGTGTGTGAGATTTCTTTATGTAAAATAACAGAAGCTAGCTAGTTTGATGGCAGTTTTGTGGAAGACTAGAGTGAGATCTGGCTAAATTATTTTTCTCATGCTTCAGGCTTTCTACTTCTCAGTTAAACTAAATATTTATTTGCATGTATTTGAATACACAGGAGACTGATGTGCAAAAACTACAGGACAAACTGAACAGTGGTCACATAGAAGAAGTCATTGTACAGGTAAAGCGGGGAAATTGAAGGTTAGGTACAAAAGGGAGCAGTGGTTTTCAGTGTTCCTTTGGCTGAGCTTCTGTTCAGAAGACTGGCACTTTTTCATGTCTTCCTTTGCTGCAAAACAAACAATCAAACAGAGGAAAAAAAAAATCTGAAAATGAATTGTCATGTAGTCATTGGGATGACCATATTAACACCTAACACAATTACACGTTTACTGTATTATGCTTACATATATGCTGTTTATACTTACATTGCTTCTTACAGAGTCTAAATCAGTAGAAAGGGCAGAAGTTGATTAAATAATATTGGGGGATAATACAAATAGACTGGAAAGTATCATGAAGTTGTCACTGGGAATGACTAGGTGAACAAACTGGGTAGTTGGAGGTGATTCAATATGTTTTTAAAAAAAAACCAACAAACCACCAACCCCTAAAACGCATAGTTCCTTTTGATACTTATTGATGAAAGTTGTGGTAGTCCCTGACCATGACAGGTGGTGACATCACCGAGATAATGAACTGAAACAGAGGTAATTTAATACTTTGGCAATTGTATAGAATTTAAGAATTTGTGTATGATGTTTTAACAGGCTGAAAATGAGCTTTCCCTGGCAAGAAAAATGATACAGTGGAAACCATGGGAGCCTCTAGTTGAAGAACCACCTTCTGACCAGTGGAGATGGCCAATATAATTTTCAAAATGGTGTAACCTCTTGAAAGTCAAAAAAAAGTTAATTATTAATCTGTTGTTACTGACAGTTGTCTTTAAATTAAAGATAATAACTTCATAAAAACATGTTTTGTCCTAATGTCCGCTTATATTTAGCAGTCTAAAGACTGCTTCCAATTTCTTGCAAAAAAGAAAATTCTTTTCAGCTGTTGTACCGCCTTTCTTTTATTTCCTTTTGTAATTTATTATTAACAGGTAATTGGTGCTTCATTCTGAGTTATTTTTATAATCTGTATTTGTATGCTAGCAAATACAGATGTAGGCCATTTGAAATCAAAAGCTGTAGAAAAGTAGGATCCCACCCTCCGTTGTGTATTTTTGCCCACTGCTGCTAGTGTCGTTATCACCATGCAGATACTGAGATCAGGGGTCTGATGTAATGAAACTAGGCTTACTGAAAATAACAATTTTTTTAGGTTTCATTTGGTTGACTTTGCCCACTAATTCTGACTCGGGGTGGGGAGGAGCGCTAGAAAGACCTGAGACTGGAGGGGTGAGGCGGGGAAGGAAGACGGTGCCTTAAGGTGACAGCGGGAATGGGTTGATTGGTTTAGCTGGTAGGTGACTGTACTTGGCATAATACACATGGCCCAAACTTTAGTACTGGGGTCTTACAAAGGCTTTGTATACAAACATGTATCCTTTATGGATTTATTTTTGCTTCCAAATATTACTTAGTAATCTGAAAAAAACAGCGGATCTTTCTTGACACACCTGGCTAGGTTCTTTTAAATGTTTAAATGGAAAACAGTGCCTGCCTCTTCTGAAAACTTTTGTTTAAGCTTACATAAGCCCCAGTTAAAATATGCAGACTAGACCTAAGGATACTACTGTACGAGTTTGCCTTTACTCACATTTTTTCAGTACCATTAATAAAGTTCTTGCAAGTTTAAAGATAAGAATTTAGCTGTATGACAAAAATCTGCAGTTTGTTAAACATTTAAAAACGTGGTAAGAGCGCCACTGCACTACGTTACATAACATACTTTGTCCTAGCTGTTTTTTCGTAGTCATTAGCCCTGTAAGTTTACCTGTGACATCATTAATATTCATTATTAATTACATCTTTATATAATATTTCTTACAATCAAGGCATTAGGGGAGTAGGGCAATAGAAGAGAAAAACAGTAAGTATACCTAGGGTATTTGCTCTAGCCAGCTATTTTCAGTGCATTTTTAGCATTGTTTTTTTCAACTGCTACTACTATAATTAAAGAAACTTTTAGATTTTTGAGAATTGAAAAAGTGGAAAATATTTTGCTTCATTGTTTGGTTTTGACAGCTTTTTCAGTCTTGAAAAAGGTAGAAGCTGGTCTCTTCTGAGATAAAACCACTAGGTGGCATTCCAGAAGAGGACTTCGCTAAAGTTAACAATTTTCACATGAGAAATATTAAAGGATTACAAACTTGAATGAGGGCAAAAGATGTCAGATGAGAAATGAAGATGAATGGTTTCATGTAATAAGTATTGAGCTGATGTGAGAGGAAGCAAAATAAAGAATAAACAAAAAACCCCCCGAGTCTAGTATGAATGATACTGGCATGCAACCCTTAAGGGGGGAAAAAAAAGCTGCCGGAAGGTGGTGGAAACCGCTGGAATTCTTTCTGCTATTTGATAACTGAGACATCGAACTCTCTTGAACTCTCTTTTTGCTCAGTTATCTTCTCCACTTATAAAGCCCTATCTGCTGTGTGACTTAAAGTAGCTCTCCTATATGCTCCTGAGTTGTGTTGCAGGGGGTGAAGAAGTCTCTTTTTCTTGGCCTGTTGCTGCTGAAATTTGACAACTGCTATTTTAAAGCTGAGTTTCACTGATCAAAAGCGCACTCACATCTTCTCCCGTTCACAGATGCACAAATACGTCCTTGGTACAGACCCTAATATAAGTTGTTTACTATGTTGAGGGGATATTTTTATTTTTTAGAGCTGTATTTCCTAATTTATATTCTCAGTGATTCTTCTGGCCTGTGAGTGTTTCTATCATCTGACTTGGGATAGGATCATTTTCTAAATCTTCCTATCCAAAACACTGGATTAGCCTTCACAGGTGCTTTAATTTAGGAATTAATTAACTTAAGTCTTAAAAAGGTTCTACTGAAGCCAAGCCTAGGAATCATTAATAAGGATTTTTCAGCTTTCTGAGCATTTTATCACATTCTCAGAATGTGTTATATTTTCATTGTTTTGTCATTGGTTAAATTTGGTTTCATTATCTTAGCGTAAATTAATCATCTATGCTACCTAAGATTACTAAATGAATTAGTATTGTGTTGTAGCATCAACTTTAAATAGCAGTTACTGAGAACAAAGGGAGGAAAGAAAATGGATTGCAGTTTTGAGATGTAACAGTGTGTGCCTTTTGTAGTGTTGTGTGGTTCATGTCATCCTTATTCCTGGCTAATTTAAAAATACATCTTTGCTAAGAAGAGAAAGAATAATTTTTACTTTGCTCTTCACTCTGTAATTATGTATCTGATATTTAAATCCACATTGTAGCAACAAAACAGTACACATATTTTACAGGCAAGAGAGAATCTATATTAGGAGTACTATGTTGCAAATTTATTTCAAGATGAATATGCTAGCAAGATGTAATTTGAAGACTGACTGTAATGATTTTGCTTGATTTTTCTCCATTAACTGTTGGAAATACATGATGATGCAAAAGATTTTATCATTATCTGCTGTAATATGGCAAGGTAAATCACTGCAAGCCTTAGAGTTAAGAAACTTTAGATCTTTAAAACACTTTGATCTCATCTGAGTGAAGTCATTATGTGAGTGAAAAGCACCCTGTCTGCAAGGATGGCACCTAATAATAGAGACAGGGCCTGCCAAACCAGAATAAATGGCTTTCGGGTTGCCATGTAGTAGCGGTACTGAGGTTTTTGTTGTTCCTGACACGCTGTCTGTGCTGCTTAACCTGAGTGGCTGTGTTCTGAACGGCACACCATTTTAGTCTTCAACATAATTTCTGATTGTGTTCGAAGGGAGATGAGTGAAAGCTGCTGGGTTTTGGGTTTTTTTATTATTTACAGCATATATGCTATTTCATTAAAAAAAATGGAAAATCCTCTTTCAAACTGAAAATTAGTTTGAATGTTTAATCAAGTTGACTACGTAACAGTGACCAAGTGACACAAACGACATGGTAGCTTTCTATAGAGTTACTGCAGGTCCTGTTCTTCCCTGAGTTCAAGTTCAATCCAGGTTTTAGAAAAAAAGAGCATTAACAGTAGTAAGGGCAAATTCCTGTGGTTTTGATGGGAAGCAAGCCTGTGTTCAAATGCCTGGATAGATGGCTGTGAAACATGGTAGTGGTGATCACGGCGTACTGCTACGGAGTATGCGGAAATATATACTGCAGAGGTACAACTTTTTTCAGGCTTCTCCCACAGTTGTGACACGGAACTGTGTATTTCACCTTTAAAATGGTTGTGTGAAGTAAGCGTAGTCTCAGTTTTCCTGTAGCCTGCCGCAACACTTGCAAGAGTTGTCAAGCAGAAATCGCACCTCCAGGACCAAGGACGTTCAGTTTCATCTGGTTTTAGTTCTGGTGCAAATGTCTTCATTTCCCCTCGGCAGCCTCAGCCCTCGCACCAGACCCGCAGGCCTCGCCGGGGAGAACAGCACCCAGGCTGAACGCTTCACGCACGTGCCTATCGACGCCCAAACGCACCAACTTTTCGTAATACGCAGGAGCCCGCTTTGGGTATTAGCGCACCTTCTGCTACCACCTACAGCTGTACACTGACAGGGAAACCAGTGTTTTCTTACGTTAATGCCCGTATAAGCCGGTGAGGGTTCACCCCCACCGCGCTCCGGCTGAGGGCACGGGACGCGGCCAGCGCCAGGCTGCCCACCTAAGCG